CATCCATGTTGCTTACCGTTTTATTTCCCTACGCCCTCTTTAGGTTTCCAATCTGGCTCACCCTCTCTGTGCTTCATTTTCTATGGACTATGTGCCATCCCTACTGTTTTGCCTTGTTTGTTAAATGATACTGATGAAGTGCTTTCTTTCCAGTGTGAAAATATTTGTGTCATATGTAAGAGTATCCTGGGCTGCAGTCCTGAGAGTCTCCTCAATCAGACGGCAACTCTGGAGCTAGTGCAGATATTTTCTGAGCCTTCACAAAGTTTGGTGAGACAAATTTTTTCAGCTTTGGAAATTGTTATAGAATGTCAACTGCTGGTTTACTGAAGTAATCCGGCACAATTAAGACACATCTGTTGGATCTAAAATGTATACTATACATTCACTTAATACCACTTCCGATCCCGCATTGTTCATGTAGCAACTACTTATATACACAGCCAGTGATTTTTGGATGTGTGTGCATACAGTCGCCACCTACAGGTGAAACTCGAATAATTAGACTATCGTGCAAAGTTCATTTATTTCACTAATGCAACTTAAAAGGTGAAACTAATATATGAGATAGACTCATTACATGCAAAGCAAGATAGTTCAAGCCGTGATTTGTCATAATTGTGATGATTATGGCTTACAGCTCATGAAAACCCCAAGAACCCCAAATCCACAACCTCAAAAAAGTAGATTATTACATGCAATCAATAAAACAAGGATTGTACATAGAACAATATCGGACCTCTGAAAAGTACAAGCATGCATATGTACTCAGTACTTGGTTTGGGCCCCTTTTGAAGCACTTACTGCCATTACTTTTGCATGATATTCTAATTATTCGAGTTTCACCTGTATTTGTGCAGTCTAGTCCTTTTCGACTAGAGAAAGATCTTGGCTCAGCGGCTCATCCTCATCCACTGACCCTTTGAGCAATAAAAACCTGATGTTTTAAAACTGATGATTTATATCTGTTGTTTTACCTTATTTTGGCAATCTTCCTTTTATAATTAAATATGTAATTTTATGACAAAGCATTCCCAAAGCACTTATGGCCTTAGCAGAGACAGCATAGCAGAAGTACAGTAGCTTCCTTTCAGGCACAGCTGTCATTCACTAAAGCTTTATACTGAGCCATGTGATGAGGGGCAAATCTTTGCTTTAGCTCATCTAATTGTGTGTCTGTAAATGTTTTTACTTTGATCTTCAAACAGGCTTTTCTTAATGTGTGGTTGGTAGAAAGAACAATAAAAGGAGCCTAGCGCTAGATTTGCTGTCTGCAGAAAAGACTACACGATATCCATGGGCATTGTTTTATTTACCTGTC